ATAGGGCTGTGTAGAAGGTCCCCCAAAATACTGGTTCAAAATCCCCAACAAACTGGTTTTAACTGGGTTATCTGGGAGACTTTCCACACAGCAATATCTTCCAGAATAACAAGGCAGAAAATTCCACAATATGTGCTTTGATCTGGGTTATCTGTACGCCGCCCTGAGTTGCCTCTGAGCTGAAAAGGGTGGGATAAAAGTGTGGCAAATAAATAAATAAATAAGCAGAGTCCAAACTCAGATAATATGGGATTTCTTGCCTTGATATTCTGGGATAAAGAGCTGTATGGAAGGGCACGAATATCAAGACAGATGCTCCAGAATATCTGCTTTGAACTGGGTGATCCAAGGGCCCTTCCACACAGATATCTAACCCAGAATATCAAGGCTGAAAATCCCACAAGATTTGCTTTGAACTGGGTTATCTGAGGGCCCTTCCACACAGCCATATAACCCAGAATATCAAGGCAGAAAATTCATCTTCATCATCATCATCATATTTAATTACTTATTAATTGCCCTCCATCCGAGAATGCTCTAGGCCAGGGGTAGGGAACCTTTGGCCCTCCAGCTGTGGTGGACTTCAACTCCCACAATTCCTTGAGGCTCGGCATTGGGCCAAGGTAAGCCTTTGGGGCGAATGCCGAGCCTCCAGGAATTGTGGGAGTTGAAGTCCACCACAGCTGGAGGGCCAAAGGTTCCCTACCCGTTCCATGCGATTTACAGCTAAATTGTAAAAGATGAAATACATACATTCAGAATTAAAAATTAACAGAGATCGAATGCTCTAGTAAAAAGCCAGGTCTTAAGTGCTAGAGTAAAAGGCCCTAAGTCACGCATGGCTCTCATATAGGTGGCAAGGAATTCCATAAGGCAGGGGCAGAAATAGAAAAAGCCCTGTGTCTGGTACTTTCCAAGTGCACTTCTCTAGGACCCAGTATATAGAGTAAGTCACGTTGGGATGGTCGTTGCGACCTCCGATGATGGGAGAAGGAGAGGCGGTCCCTAAGGTACGATGGCCCTTGGCCATAAAGAATTTTAAAGGTCAGAACTAACATCTTATACAGGCCACGGTACTCAGTTGGAAGCCAATGTAAATGTTGCAGCACTGGTGTTATATGGCATTTCATGGGCATTCTTGTGAGTAGCCTGGCTGCTGCATTCTGAACAATACGGAGCTTTCGGGTCGTAGACATCGGAAGGCCCACATACAGGGCGTTGCAATAGTCCAGCCTAGACGTGACGCAGAGGCAGCCCTAGGTAATTTTCAACGGTAAGCAAACAGTATTTTGCCCCCCCCCCCCCCCCAATCACTGATATATATTTTCTGTTTGTCGTGGGAGTTCTGTGTGCCATATTTGGTTCAATTCCATCATTGGTGGAGTTCAGAATGCTCTTTGAGTGTAGGTGAACTATACATCCCAGTAACTACAACTCACATATGTCAAGGTCTATTTTCCCCCAAGAGCGCCTCAAGAGCGCCCCTGGGCAAAATGAACTATACTGCAAATGCTTACTTTGCGTAATGGGTTGAGCTGCCCCTGCCTAGACGTGACCGTGGCATGGATGACTGTTGCCAGAGCCTCATCAGATAGGTAGGGTGCTAACTGCTTTGCTTGTCGTAGACCAGCGGTTCTCAACCTGGGGTCCCCAGATGTTTTTGGCCTACAACTCCCAGAAATCCCAGCCAGTTTACCAGCTGTTAGGATTTCTGGGAGTTGAAGGCCAAAAACATCTGGGGACCCCAGGTTAAGAACCACTGTCGTAGATGGAAAAAGGTCTATTTGCTGGCAGCAGCGACCTGAGCTTCCATTGTCAGCTGCAAATCCAAAACGACACCCAAGCTCTTAACGGTAGGCGAAGGAGATAGGGTAGCACCATCGAAGGTGGGTAGCAAATGGGTCAGACCAATCAAGCGGCCATGCCAGAGAATCTCAGTCCACATTATTATTATTATTATTATTATTATTAACTTTATTTGTACCCCGCTAGCATCTCCCGAAGGACTCAATGCAGCTTACAAAGGCCAAGACCTCAATAAAACACCAACATAACAAGTACACATAAATCATAAAGCAAATCAAAAAATTAAGCAAAACTGGGTTATCTGAGGGCCCTTCCACACAGCCATATAACCCAGAATATCCACAAGATCTGCTTTGAACTGGGTTATCTGAGGGCATGTCCACACAGCCATATAACCCAGAATATCAAGGCTGAAAATCCCACAATATCTGCTTTGAACTGTGTGATCTTAGGGCCCTTCCACACAGCCATATAACCCAGAATATCAGGGAAGAAAATCCCACAGTATCTGCTTTGAACTGTGTGATCCAAGGGCCCTTCCACACAGCCATATAACCCAGAATATCCACAAGATCTGCTTTGAACTGGATGATTTGAGGGCCTTTCCACATAGCCATATAACCCAGAATATCAAGTCAGAAAATCCCACAATATCTGCTTTGAACTGGGTTATCTGAGGGCCTTTCCACATAGCCATATAACCCAGAATATCAAGTCAGAAAATCCCACAATATCTGCTTTGAACTGGGTTATCTGAGGGCCTTTCCACACAGCCATATAACCCAAAATATCAAGGCAGAAAATCCCACAATATCTGCTTTGAACTGGGTTATCTGAGGGCCTTTCCACACAGCCATATAACCCAGAATATCAAGGCAGAAAATCCCACAATATCTACTTTGAACTGGGTTATCTGAGGGCCTTTCCACATGGCCATATAACACAAAATATCGAGGCAGAAAATCACACAATATCTGCTTTGAACTGGGTTATCTGAGGGCCTTTCCACATGGCCATATAACCCAGAATATCAAGGCAGAAAATCCCACAATATCTGCTTTGAACTGGGTTATCTGAGGGCCTTTCCACATAGCCATATAACCCAGAATATCAAGGCAGAAAATCCCACAATATCTGCTTTGAACTGGGTTATCTGAGGGCCTTTCCACACAGCCATATAACCCAGAATATCAAGGAAGAAAATCCCACAGTATCTGCTTTGAACTGTGTGATCCAAGGGCCCTTCCACACAGCCATATAACCCAGAATATCCACAAGATCTGCTTTGAACTGGATTATCTGAGGGCCTTTCCACATAGCCATATAACCCAGAATATCAAGTCAGAAAATCCCACAATATCTGCTTTGAACTGGGTTATCTGAGGGCCTTTCCACACAGCCATATAACCCAGAATATCAAGGCAGAAAATCCCACAATATCTGCTTTGAACTGGGTTATCAGAGTCCTTTCCACATAGCCATACAACCCAAAATATCAAGGCAGAAAATCCCACAGTATCTGCTTTGAACTGGGTGATCTGAGGGCCTTTCCACATGGCCATATAACCCAGAACATCAAGGCAGAAAATTCCACGCTATCTGCTTTGAACTGGGTTAGTTGAGAGCCCTTCCACACAGCCATATAACCAGGGGCGGCTCAACCCATTACGCAAAGTAAGCATTCGCAGTATAGTTGATTTTGCCCAGGGGCGCTCTTAAGGCGCTTTTGGGGGGAAATAGACCTTGACATATGCGAGTTGTAGTTACTGGGATGTATAGTTCACCTACAATCAAAGAGCATTCTGAACTCCACCAATGATGGAATTGAATCAAATATGGCACACAGAACTCCCACAACGAACAGAAAATATATATCAGTGATTGGTTTGGGGGGGGGGGCGGGCGCCAAAATAATGTTTGCTTACCATTGAAAATTACCTAGGGCCGCCTCTGCATATAACCCAGAATATCCACAATATCTGCTTTGAACTGGGTTATCTGAAGGCCTTTCCACATAGCCATATAACCCAGAATATCAAGTCAGAAAATCCCACAAGATCTGCTTTGAACTGGGTTATCTGAGGGCCTTTCCACATAGCCATATAACCCAGAATATCAAGGCAGAAAATCCCACAATATCTGCTTTGAACTGGGTTATCTGAGGGCCTTTCCACATAGCCATATAACCCAGAATATCAAGGCAGAAAATCCCACAATATCTGCTTTGAACTGGGTTATCTGAGGGCCTTTCCACACAGCCATATAACCCAAAATATCACAATATCTGCTTTGAATGAGTTAAAAAATTGAAAAAAGAAGAAAAAAAGAAACGAAAAAAAAAAAAAATTGAAGAAAAAAAAAAAAAAAAAAAAAAGAAAAAAAGAAAAAAAAAAAAGAAAAAAGAAGAAAAAAAAAAAAGAAGAAAAAAGAAAGAGAAGAAAAAAGAAAAAACCGGGTCTCCTGTGGTTTTTGGGGAGTGGGGTTGAAGCCTGCCTCCTAGCTCACGCTGAAGAGCACAGCAGGGGCAGAGCAACCTTCCATAGCCTGCAGCTCCGCCCCTGTCAACCACCTCCACCAAGTCTGGCCTCCTTAATGAGAGCATTCAACACACACACACAACTTGGTTGCTTCACTACATCGGCTATTGCTGCAAGTAATGACAGTGTGAATAAATTGTCAATATTTGCTTGAGATAGTGCTTGCAGTTCTGGAGGGACTCTTAATTTTTTGCATCTCATAGACTTAGCATGGGGATTTGGTTAACCAGTTAAAATTCATGAGTAAACCAGGTTTTTTTAAAAAATCTGAAACATTTTGGGGGGGGGGGGTTGAACCCCTAAAACCACCCCCGCGCTAAAGGGGCCAAAGTGGTGAAACTCCTCATAAGGCCTAGCTAATTTCTCTTGGGTAGCCAGGCGGGGAGAGCCCCCTGGGTGGGACTCCGGCCTGAGGAGGAGGAAGAAGCCCGGCCGCTGTGTGGAGATGTCACAAGGCGCAGGTAGGCCCCACCTCCCCTCAGCAGTCAGCACAACCTCCAGATGTTTGGGCCTACGACTCCCAGAATCCTTTGCCACCGTGCCCAATGGCCGGGCCTTCTGGGAGCTGAAGTCCCAAACCCCAAGCCTTTCTGAGGGGGCCTCGTTTTTCCCCGCCTCTAAGGGGAGGGAGGGAGGGAGGGAGGAGGCCGGCCTGTCAGCGCCCGGCCTCCCTCCTTCCCTCCCGCCCGGCGCCATGTGGGCATAGTCCAGCCCCGCTTCCTCCAGAGAGAGCGAGAGAGAGAGCGAGAAGGCGCCATGGCCGGCGAGGTGGCGGCGCCGAGGCCCAGCGCCCGCCTGCCCTCCTCGTCGCCCGCGCGGAAGGACTTCTACTGGCTCCGCTCCTTCGTTGCCGGAGGTGAACGCGGGCAGGAAGAGGGAGGGAGGGTTGGCCAGGCCCAGCTCACGCTTGGAAGCCCTGCCGCGCTCAAAAGGTGGCCTTGCCCGCCTCCTCGCCTGTGGCTCCGGCTTGTGGGCTTCCAGAGGAGGCATGGGCTAACTTGGGCCCTCCAGGTGTTTTGGACTTCAACTCCCACAATTCCTGACAGCCGTTAGGCTGTTAGGAATTGTGGGAGTTGAAGTCCAAAACACCTGGAGGGCTCAAGTTAGCCCATGCCTGCTCCAGAGAATGGGAAGGGACCACTTTTGGCCTCCCCCCTGGCTTTGGCTGACTACATTACTGTGTCCCAAATAATTTGTTATATTAAATTTATTATTTACTAGCTGTTTATTGTGAATCTAAAGAAATTACATGGAAAGTGGGAGAGCAATAAGAGTATAGTTAGAAAGTGAGAATAGATGAAAGAGATACAGAAGAATCTATCTATCTATCTATCTATCTATCTATCTATCTATAGTCTGTGACTTCCATCAACTCCACGGTGTTCGGGTTCGTCTTCTTTTTGTTCATTATCATGGTTCCTTCTCTGTGTAGCCTGACATGGTGGTTATTAGAGTGGTCCAGCATTTCTATGTTCTCAAATAGTACAGTGTCCAGGTTGGTTCATCAGGTGCTCTGCTATGGCTGACTTCTCTGGTTGAAATACTGGCTACTGGTATTTTAAAAAACTGTAAAATCAGGACATTAAATACAGAGCAACACTAAAAAATCAATCAGGGCCAGCCAACACGTCCAAACAAAGGATTCCCCCAGGCAGCAGGCAGCCAGGTTTTGAAGCTGCAAGGCCATTCAATGCTAATCAAGGTGGCCAATTTCTCTCGCTCCTACCAACCGGGCTTGAGATGGAGGTGGGACTGAGAGAAAGGCCTCTTCTGAAGGTCTCATGGTCTGGCAGGTTTGTACAAGAGGATGCGGTTGGCTAAATAGCCTGGTCCTGAACCGTCTAGGGCAGGGGTTCTCAGACTTTTAAAGCAGAGGGCTAGGTCATAGTCCCTCAAACTGTTGGAGGGCCGGATTATAATTTGAAAGAAACATGAATGAATTCCAATGCACAGGGAGCAAGCTTGTTTTCTGCTTCCCTGGAGACTTGGACGCGGAACAATGGCTTCAAACTACAAGAGAGGAGAGATTCCATCTGAACATGAGGAAGAACTTCCTGACTGTGAGAGCCGTTCAGCAGTGGAACTCTCTGCCCCGGAGTGTGGTGGAGGCTCCTTCTTTGGAAGCTTTTAAACAGAGGCTGGATGGCCATCTGTCAGGGGTCATTTGAATGCAATATTCCTGCTTCTTGGCAGGGGGTTGGACTGGATGGCCCATGAGGTCTCTTCCAACTCTTTGATTCTATGATTCTATGAGGTGGGAGCGTGAGCAGGGCCTCTCCAGATGATCGAAGAGATTGTGTGGGTTCGTACACAGAAATGTGGTCTTCAGAGGCAGCCCTGTGTAGAGCACGTTACAGTAATCCAGAAGGGATGTAATTAAGGCATCTTGGTCAGATTTGGCTTCTCAAGGAATGTGCACAGTTGGCACACAAGTTTAAATTGTGCAAAGGCCCTTCTGGCCACCCACAAGAGACTAGCAAATTGCCAGCTTTTGCCTCTGGTTTTGGTTGACTGGCTTTTTATGCTTCCAGGAGCTGGCAAGGGGCCCCTCATTGCCCAGGCTTTCCTGGCTGGGTTTCTCTACCCGAAAGGGCTGGCAGGTGACCCCTGTTGGCCCTGATTTGGGCTAGCTGTCCTTGTGTGCCCTCAAGAGTTGGCAAGGGTTCTCCTATTAACCCTGTTTTTTGGCTGGCTGCCATTCTGTGCCAGGGGATGGCAGGGGCCCTCTTTTGCCTCTGGCTTTGGTCAGCGGCACTTCTGAGCTGGCAAGGGACCCCTGATTGTCGCTGGCTTTCTCTGTCCACATAGGCTGGCAAGAGACTGCCTATTGCCCCTGGCCTTAGTTAATTTGAATTTATGTGCTCTCAGAAGTTCAGCCAATTGGCAAAAGATTCATTATTGAACCTGGCTTCCACTGGCTCCCCTTTTGTATTTCCAGGGAATGAGCACACCCCCCCCCCACATTTTGCCTGTGGTGTTGGCTGGCAAGGGACCCCCATTGGCCTTGGCTTTAGCTAGCTAGGTTTCTGTGCCTCCAGGGGCTGGCAAGGAACACACTATTGGCCCCGGCTTTGGACACATCACTGTCTTCCTCCAATGGATGTGATTATGAATTAGAATAGAATAGCTTTATTTGTCACTAGCTTGGGGACCCAGCGCTGCCCAGGTTATTTGAGAAAGGCATTGTTTGTCTGTGCTCCAAGTTTAGTCTAGATCACTGGTTCTCAACCTGGGGTCCCCAGATGTTTTTAGCCTTCAACTCCCAGAAATCCTAACAGCGGGTAAATTGGCTGGTGTTTCTGGGAGATGTAGGCCAAAAACGTCTGGGGACCCCAGGTTAAGAACCACTGGTCTAGATCCAAAATCTAGAATGGGCCATGGAGGCCATTCTACATTACATGCCTTCCCCTACACACATCACAAAACAACACACCCATTCTTCCATGCCCCCCCCCCACCACACAGCCCCCAATGCCACATCAGTGTGAAACCACGGAGTTCAACATAGCCATAGCTGTAGGAGAAAAGCTATCCTTCAGTCTGTTTGTCCTTGTCTTTGTCATCCTGTACTGCCTGCCAGATGGCAATAATTTAAAAAATATATGCTGGGAATTCTTGCTCTGAGCTTTCTTTGGGCAGTGGGAATTATAAAGTTCTTCCAAAGAGGGGAGAAGACAACTGATGATCCACTTTGCAGAAGTGGTGACCCTTTGAAACATCTGCCTCTCTGTCACTGTGCAACTGGAGGGCTATTGTATGCTAGACTTGGGTGGGGACCCCATTCTGTGTTTGCTGTAGGCTTTGTATATATACAGTGCCCCCTTCCAATGCGTGCACCCTTTAACCCAGTGGTTTGCAACCTGTGGGTCCCCAGGTGTTTTGGCCTATAACTCCCAGAAATCCAACCATTTTACCAGCTGTTAGGATTTCTGGGAGTTAAAGGCCAAAACATCTGGGGACCCACAGGTTGAGAACCACTGCTTTAACAGCTAATAGTAGCTGTGGTTATTACTTGACGGCTATATAACTACTAGGCTTGGGCGGTTTCGTTCGTTAATTTCGTAATTCGTTATTAATTCGTATTTAAGTTAGCTTACGATCCAATATTGAGCCATGCAGGAATAGTGTGAGGAGTAATTAGATTCGAAACAATTTTTTCAATTTATTTCGTAATTATTTCGTAATTATTTCGTAATTATTTTCGCATGTCTGGTGCAAGTTTTATAGTTGTTGTTTGTTTTATCACACCAACAGTCAACAACAGAGGGAGAGGGAAGCTTCAGAAGTTCCCCCTGTCCCATTTGGAGGTTTTTTAGCATATTGCGCAATTGCGTCCGCCATTAACGAATCGATTCGTAATTATGCGAAATCTCGTATATTTCGAAATTTTTAAAAGGAAAATTTCGGAATTATTAAAAAAAACGAAACGCAAGGGCCCCCTAAAAACAAAACGAGTTTATAACCAAATTTTTCCATGGTTACCCAAGCCTAATAACTACGTTTACACTGAAGAATACATGTTATAATAATGATTTAATCATTGCATAACTAAAGTAGATAATAACAACATTGAAATGGGTTGAGATTTGCCATACCTTGGCTCAGTCATGAATCAGAATATTGCGGAGGCTGAAGTCCAGAAATCAGACTAAAACTATGACTTGAAAGGTTAGCTATGAAGAAACTGGGCAATATCATGAAGTTATTATTATTATTATTATTATTATTATTATTATGTTTATTTATCCCCCATGTTCTCTCTCTACGAAAGAGACTCAAAGCGGCTTACAGTAAAACAAAAGGAAATACAATTTAAAACCTAAAATATACAAACTTTAAAATAAAATTAAATATGAATGGTGTTAAAACTAAAACAATTACAATCCTTAAAAAATGATTAAAATTATATTGCAGTATGAATACTAAAGTCAGGATGGCCCATGTCATTGTATTTCCTATTTCTATGTATGGCCATGAAAGCTAGATGGTGGATAGAAAGAGAATCAACTCCTTTGCATTTTGTGCTGAAGAGCGTTCTGCAGATTCTGTGGACTGCTAAGAAGACAAATGAGTCCAAGTAAATCCAGCCTGAACCTGTCCTAGAAGCCAATGTCATATTTTGGCTCTATAATGAGATATCATGACTCAGTAGAAAAGACAATAATGCTTGGTGAAGTGGAATATTGTAGGAATACAGGAAAATCACATTACAGGTAGATTCTCCTATGCAGGAAGTCACAGTCCCGAGTCTGCAGTACCTCAGTAGGGCTCTTAAGGATAGGATGACTCATTAGTAGGATCACCATAGTTTGAAGTTGACTTACAGCAGTTAATGACAACAACAAATTGAATCTTTAATGGCAATTTTATGTTTGGTGTTCAAATGGTCATCCTTGCACACCCAGACCACATAATCTTGGAAGATAATCCGATCTTGGAAGATAAGCAGGGTTATCTATGGTTGGAACTTGGATGGAAGGCTGCCAAGGAATAGCAGATACTGGAGACTACCTTTCAGAAGAAGGAACTTGCAAAAACACCTCTGCACTTTTCTTGCATAAGAAAACAGTGTAGGTGTGCAGACACATATGCACACCTACATCCACACACCCTCCCCCAGGTAGGAATCCTGGGGTTTCTTTGAGTATCCATGACCTGTTAGCAGTTTTTGTTTTGCCTTGACCTTTTCGCAAATATTATCAGGGACTGCCTAAAATAAACAACAAATTAGTACATTGTCTTCTATCCCTTCTTCCTTAACGTTGAGCAAAATTACTAGGGCATAAACTTACGTAAACAACATTTGTCTCATAAGAGTTTTGTGTGTATACCTAAAAGCCACATATGAAAAGGGTGTGTTAACTTACAAACCAGGAAAAATGTTATAAGTGTTTCTGCAACAGTTTTGGTTTGTGGTAAAATCACTATGATAAGCAATAGGCTGTTCTTGAAAAAACTGACATAGGATTTCTAGTGAATCTGTGGAATGGCAGTTCAAAGTTGAAATGTTAGCTTTATATCATTGGAGAAGAATTGGGAGTTTGAAATAATTTGCAGTCAGTTCAGTACATTATATTGACTGTGGTTGAAGAATGTTAGAGATGATACATAGACTGCTGGTTAGGTGTTTTGATATAATAGTTACTTTTTTTATATAACTAGCGGTCCCCTGCCACGCGTTGCTGTGGCCCAGTCTGGTGATCTAATGAGAAAGTGTTGGTTTCTAATATATGTCATTATGCTTGTGGATAAACAGTATTTCTTGCTGTTTCTTTGCCAGTGTTGATGTGGAGATTGTCTGGTTTGCCTACTCTGAAACATGCTACATTTCATTGTTCTTCTTTCAAATCTTTGATACTGCATCTGTCATATACATATATGTGTGTGTGTGAATGGCTGGATGGCTCTTTGTCAGGAGGGCTTTGATTATGTTTTCTTGTACTGGTGAAGGGAGTTGGACTGGGTAGCCTTAAGGCAGCATTTCTCAACCTGAGAAGTCAAGACCCGGGGGGGGGGGTCACAAGTGGGGTGTCAGAAGGGTCACCAAAGACCACCAGAAAACACTGTTGGTCATGAGAGTTCTGTGTGGAATGTTTGCCCCAATTCTGTCAGTGGGATTCAGAATGCTCCTTGATTGTAGGTGAACTATAAATCCCAGTAAGTACAACTCCCAAATGTCAAGGTCTATTTCCCCCGAACTCAATGTGTATTTATATTTGGGCATATTGAGTATTTGTGTCAAGTTTGGTCCAGATCCATCATTTTTTAGTCCACAGTGCTCTCTAGATGTAGGTGAACTACAGCTCCAAAACTCAAGGTCAATGCCCACCAAACCCTTCTAGTGTTTTTTGTTGGTCAGAGGAGTCCTGTGTGCCAAGTTTGGTTCAATTCCATCGTTGGTGGAGTTCAGAATGCTCTTTGATTATAGGTGAACTATAAATCCCAGCAACTACAACTCTCAAATGACAAAATCATAATTTTTTGAGTGATGGTCACTCCTTGTGTTGTGAGATGTTTTTTTTTGCCAAATTTGGTATTATTTCGTTCATTGGTTCTTTTGTTTTTAAGGTACTCATTATGCACAGAGCATTTATATATATATAGAATTAACACAACCATTATTTGGGAGCTGAACCATGTTATAGAAGAAGACACTTGAACCTGTTGATCTCTGACATAATTTTATTTCAGCTATAAAATTTATTCTGGTTTCTAAAACAATGGGGAAAATGGAATTACTGAAAAATTGAATTTGCAGACATTTTTCAGAGTCTTAGTGCAAAGAGCTGCATATTTGGAAGACGCAATAAGTCTGGTTACTTACAGGTCCAATTTTCAGGAAAGTGGGTCTGTAACACTACATATTGTATATTCCACAAGATTTATTTTCATTCACTCACTCAACATATCTGAATTTTTCACACATTGGAGAAGCAATAGAAAAATTCAGACATCCTTTTGAAGATAAGGGGATTTGTTTGGCATCATAAAGGCTATGCAAGCTAAGTGCTGACTGTCTAGAACAGGATATTTTGTGCAGTACATTCATTATATGCACCAGCCAAAATCCAACAGCATACTTTAGTATTTGGTGCCAATGAATATATTGTTGCCTTTCCCCTCCAGCTCCAGCCTTCCATGGCCTCACCCCCCCTCACAGCTTTTTCTAGCCTTTTGGATCGATTTGCGGGATGCACAGGAAAGTTGTAGTGGTGGAAAAGGGAGGCAGTGAGACTGATTCCGGATAAATTAGCATCAGCTATCAAATTCTGTATTTAAAGAGGTTTTGACTATGGGAAAATATATATTATTGTCCTACAGTACAGTCATAAATTTTGTGTTTGTGGTTCAATTTTTCCAATCCTAGTACCAGTAATCATATCTTTGTCTACATTGCAAAGGAACTGATAGGAATATTATTGTTACAGTTATATTTATTTATTTATTTCCTATATTTATACCTTGCCCTTCTCCCCCCGAAGGGGGACTCAGGGCAGCCTAACAAAAGCATCATATGATATTAGCATCATAAAAACAACCACAATACAATCAAAATATTAAAAATATTGAAACAACAATTAAAACAATTAATTAAGACACAACCATTAAAATCGAAATCCAAAAACCAGTCCGGGTCAATTCATTGCCAAAAGTTGTGTGATCTTCTTCTATTTCCTGCTCACTGATCAAACGCTTGGTCCCATAACCAAGTCTTGTTTTTCCTTCTAAAAGACAAGAGGGAGGTGGCCAATCTGATATCTCTAGGGAGGGTGTTACATAGGCAGGGGGCCACTGCTGAGAAGACCCTGTCTCTCATCCCCATCAACTGCGTTTGCGATAGTGGTGGGATTGAGAGCAGGGCCTCTCCTGAAGATTTTAAACTTTGTGATGGTTCGTGGCAGGAGATACGTTCAGACAGGTAGTCTGGGCTAATATCATTTGCTTTTAGATTAATACGTCTATCTGTTTTGTAATCATTAGCACAGCTGTATATGTAAGACATCCTCCAAGACTATGGAGGATGACTCGGTAATGGATTGCCATCTACTAAACTGAGGTTTAGGAATGCCAAATGAGCAGAAGTGAAAACAGTCTTACCTGCTCACATGCGTTTTTACCATATCTAGAATTGTAGAAATCAACAGTGACATTTTCATGGCATGGCAAACTTAATTATTTGTAGATTAAGGTGGTGTTTTGGTCCAGATCTATCATTGTTTGAGTCCAGAGTGCTCTCTGGATGTAGGTGATCTACAACTCCAAAACTCAAGGTCAGTGCCCACTAAACCCTTCCAGTATTTTCTCTTGGTTGTGGGAATTCTCTGTGCCAAGTTTGGTTCAATTCCATCATTGGTGGAGTTCAGGATGCTCTTTGATTGTAGGTGAACTATAAATCTCAGCAACTACAACTCCCAAATGACAAAATCAATCCTCCCCCAATCCCACCAGTATTAAAATTTGGGCATATTGGATATTTGTGCCAAATTTGGTCCAGTGATTGAAAATACATCCTGCATATCGGATATTTACATTATGATTCATAACAGTAGCAAAATTGCAGTTATGAAGCAGCAGTGGAAATAATTTTATGGTTGGTGGTCACCACAACATGAAGAGTTATGTTAAGGGGTTGCAGCATTCGAAAGGTTGAGAAACACTGGTCTAGAATCTCACCTTTTTGTGGGGTCAGACGTATAAAACTGATTTAAAAAGGCTTTTCAAGAAAAGAAGGACAAGGTTATGCACTGAAAAATACTTTTGCATCTTCTCTGAGGTGAAATCTTTTTTTAGTATGCTGTTCAATTGATCAGAGATTGAGTAATAACAAGAGTATTTTGCCAACAAAGATCATAACCAAAGCATGAGGAGAATCATGCTCACCGGGTGTGGACTGAACCTCAAATAGATAAAGTTTTAAAAATAACTCTGGTGCAATATTTTATTAGACGGAGTCATTTACTATTGACTAAACTCTTCATTTTTGTCTGTTTGAAAGGTGTTGCAGGGTGTTGTGCCAAAACAACAATTGCACCGTTGGATCGAGTAAAGATTTTATTGCAAGCTCATAATCATCATTACAAACATTTAGGTAAGAAAATTTCTGTATATTTTTGTGGAACCTAATACACAATTTGTATTATTTGTAACAGATGTGTACTTATTTATTTATTTATAGTATATGTATACCACTTTTTTCACCCCGAGGGGGACTCAAAGCGGTTTACACATAAGTAATGGCAAAGTTCAATACCAGTACAAACAATTACAATTATACACTACAATTAGACATAAATCAAATTAAAACAATACATCCATAATCAATAAAACAATCACGAAAACAATAAAACAGTCTCGCTTCATTTGGAAGAATCAAAGATGACAATAACTTTTAGTAGATATTACTAAAATGTTTTCAGAGGGATGCATAAAAGGTCTAAACTTTTGAGGTCTTCAGAATTCATCACTGCACAAACATTAGAGGGTAAGGAAAATTGCAAGCTCCTTTTGCTATTCCTTTCAACAAATGCAGCAATTCAGGACATTCTTCAGGTTAGATATTGTAAAGTCCTATTCAAATTCAATTCTGAATGACAGTATTGGCACAAAACATGGCTAACATTGCTTTGTTAAACAATAGGGTGCACATAGCACTTTGATTTTTGCCTGATCTTGAATGATTTGACACAAACTTGCTAATGAATCCATGTGGCAAAGAAGTCTAAATGTTTTTTTGTACAGTATTAGCACTAACCAATAGATATGTATAGATGTTTGAGTTTATTGAAAATGTTAACTAACTTTCTTACTAAGCTAAAATTCGGGGAATCCGATTAAATATACTGATTGGTCCAAGATAGAGGAATATGAAAAAATGTGAATCATATAGTCATAACAAAAGACATTAGTATGTATTGGAGATATAAGAAGAGCTGATTTACTTTACTGCTCTATTATGAAATTGTACCCTCAATAGAAAACTTATTAGATAAAGAGAAAACCGCAAAGGACTAGATGGAAGTCAGCAGACTTTTTTTTTTGTATTTTTTAAAATTCCTTCAATTTTTGGATACAAGTTTTCTCTCTCTCCTTTTTTCTTTTTCTTCTTCTTTTTATCTTTCATACTATTTTCTTATTTCCGCTATATGTTCCCTAGTTTCCTATTACTTTATTGTTCTCCCAATTTAATTGTATAAGAAAAAATTAGCCTTCCCCTCTTTTTGTTTGGAGTCCCTTGCCCCCGATTTCCCTTCTTCACCTTTAATAAAATAGATTTGAAAAAAAACCCTATTGGCTGCTAGTCAGCTTTTTCTTATCTAAGATTTATATTCAAGCCCAAAGATGAGTAGGAATGAGCCCTCTAATCTTGACTATATATTTGTATTAATATAATCCTGGTACCGTAACTTGCCTTCAGGTTAAAACCCATCAAGTGGAGATCAGTCATTATAGATTACAAAAAAATGGGAACCATAGATGTAGTTTTCCATGTCTCTTTCATTGCAATTGTCGTAATTGCAATTGTGTTGGTGCAGCCTTGACCCGTAACTAGCTAACATTGTAATATTCAGTCACTCTACAGGAGGGGTCCTCAAACTTTTTAAACAGAGGGCCAGGTCACAGTCCCTCAAACTGTTGGAGGGCCGGATTATAATTTGGAAAAAAAATGAATGAATTCCTATGCACACTGCACATATCTTATTTGTAGTGCAAAAACATTTTAAAACAAAACAATAATTAAAATGAAGGAGAATCTTAACAAATGTAAGTTTATTAGTATTTCAGTGGGAAGTGTGGCCCTGCTTTTGGCTGATGAGATAGGATTGTTGTTTTTGTTGTTGTGTGCTTTCAAGTCATTTCAGACTTAGGTTGGGTAAATGGCCTTGGAGGGCCGTAGTTTGAGGACCCCTACTCTACAGTATATGTAAGCCCAATTGACCTGAATGTGGCTTATCCATATGGAAGTAGAGATAGGATAGGATCATAACCAAAATTAATGAATTAGGAACCTGATTTAGAAATACAATTGTTTCTGGACAATTCCCCTTCCTAACCATAATTCATCATCTTTGAAATACATTATAGGCAACTTGCACTCTTGATCTTCTCTCTGTTCTAAAATTTGGGATGTCTTCCATAAATCATATTTTAGTCACTATTGTATTGCCCCGTGTTGCTTCTTTACATTTTTCGTCTTAACTCATTCGTGCACTTATTTGACCACAGTAGTTCTAGATTTTTTATTTACTGTCTTCACCTTCCATCATACTAATTTATTCTTGTCTTCAAGCATTTCTCTGGTGTTGTATTCAGACAATCCTTTCTCTTCCCCCTACTTAAACATAAATATGCAAGTATGTTTTTGAACTTTCATCAAAAATAAAATATGTTTCTGTAGACTATTCAATTTTAGTACTTGTGGATTTATAGATTTTGGTTCAATGAACACAAGACTGCAAATCTTACGATACTTCAGTATTTCTTAAACAGGAATACATCCTGAAAAATTAGATTACAAGCCTCAAAATGCTTAACTTCAAAGTGGCTTGCTTGAATATACTTCATTCCTTGTATTTGTGCAAATATTAAAAATACAAGGTCGCTACAATACAAATAAGCAAATAAAAGAACGTCAGATATTCATTCATTGGTGTACAGAATCTTCAACTACTCTGTATAACATTAACAAAATGAAATCTTTTTGAGAACTTTTCTTTAGTTCACCTCTTTCAAAATTTACATTGGCTTATACAGGTAGCAATCTCCAGTAACCATGTCTATTTTAGGAAACTCAGATAAAGAAATAAATAAAACGAATGGCCAAAGCAAACAAGACCAAAACAAATAAGACACTAAGTGATAAAGATCCAACAGTTAGAGAAATGGACATCAGTCTATTCCCAAAGAAAGACTTAGTAAATTTTGTCATATATTTTGTGATTCCTATCTGAAAGGAAAAAGCATATGCTGTGAATATTTTGGAAGTGCTGTGGAAAGAAGAATAATTGCAGTTTTAATATATATATATATATATATATATATATATATATATATATATATGACATTATTGATAAAGAGCCAAAACCTTCAATACATAATCATATGAATTATAAACTAAGGATAACTCGTTATCAATAATATTATATTTATACACAATTATTTTATACAGCTCCTAATAGCAATCACTAGGATAATTTATTCCAAGCCTTCAAAGATTGATACAGTTTCCTTACTGTTGTGATAGTTCTACTGTGTGCCAAAATATTTCTGAGCACAATTCAAAGTTCTGGTTTTGACCTACAAAGCCCTATATGGCTCCATTCCAGGTTATTTAAAGGACCATATTGCTTTCTATGAACCTGGGAGACATCTACGATCTACCGGGGAAGGCCTTCTCTTGGTTCCACCACCCGCTCAAGTGCGCTTGGTGGGAACACAGGAGAGGGCCTTTTTGGTGGCTGCTCCCAGGCTGTGGAACTCCCTTTCAACAGAGACCAGGATGGCCCCATTCCTGCTAGTCTTCCACAAGCAGGTCAAGACCTTCTTCTGCCAAAAGGCATTTGGGGGAAGGGACAAACTTTGGGGAGGTTGGCTGGGATTGAGGGGGATATGAGTTTTAAAGGTCATTTTAGTGTATTTATTGTATTTTAATTCTGTTTTTACCACACTGTTACTATTTGTTTTTTTTATCTTTTGTAATGTACTTTTTAACTTGTCTAGTATGGATTGTTAGCTGCCTTGAGTTCTCACGAGGGGAAAGGCGGGGTATAAATAAAGTTAATAATAATTATAGTAATAATAATAATAATAATAATAATAATAACTCAGCCGTTATCAGGACCTCAAAATCGAACTGCAAAGGCTCTGGTATAAACCAGTACAGGTGGTCCCAGAGCAGGAAATTGTAACTAGCCTAACAAGTATTGTGTTCTGGATTGCAGAGTTAATATATACTTATGTAGGCTTAAGAATAGGGGGACTTTCCCCCCTGATTTTACATACCTAAGAGTGCAATGAAAAGGAGACACAGGGTCCTAGCTGTTACAAATGTTTTTTTGTTAAACCTTTACATAGTTTCTAACCCATTCCAACTCTGAGGTGAAGCAGTTACAAGGTTTTTGTGGAGGAAATTGTTTAGAGGGGATTCCCATTGCCTTCTTCTGAGGCTGAGAGAGTGTGACATGCCCAAGTGAATTTCATTGCCCTGAGGAGATCTGAGCCCATAGTTACTACATCCTGCTGACCTCCGTAATGTTAACATGATGATACATCCTAGCTGAAATCTGTGAAACCCTTTATTTAGTGCAGGCTGATGAAAACACACAGTAGCATGTAAGGATACTGTATTTATTGCATGCATTGATGATGTTATCATGATGTATTTCATCACAGTGTAGTCATTTGAAAGAAGTTTTCTCACAGTGCCATTATTTACTCTTCTTGCCCAGCTGACTAAAACAGTAACACTCAGCCCATTTACGGTGTCTACTGTGGATTGTGTAGCCATCACCTACCTTCCCCTATAGTTCCAAGGAAATGTCTCTTGTAGCCTTGGGGCAGGAGGCTTTTTTCAATACTAAACACAAAAAACTCAATTCTTGCTTTCAGCCTGTAATTGGAGATAAGAACAGTTAAAGAATGTAACCTTTAAATACTGGTTTTTAAAAATATCTTTAAAATTATTCAAACTGGTAGGACAAGGAAGTCATTTCGGAACCATTCGGAACCACAAGGAAGTCATTTCGGAACCAGCGGAAGTCATTTCAGAACCATTGGCAACCATCTTTGAGAGTTCTTGGAGAACGGGAGAAGTTCCAGCAGATTGGAGGAGGGCCAATGTGGTCCCAATCTTCAAGAAGGGAAAAAAGGATGACCCAAACAACTACCGTCCGGTCAGCCTCACGTCGATACCGGCAAGATTCTGGAAAAGATTGTTAAGGAAGCGGTCTGCAAACACTTAGAAACAAATGCAGTCATCGCTAATAGTCAACATGGATTTATCAAAAACAAGTCATGCCAGACTAATCTGATCTCTTTCTTTGATAGAGCTACATGCTGGGTAGATGCGGGGAATGCCATGGATGTAGCGTA